TGCCCCGTGCAGGGGGGCTGCCAGCCTGGGAGTGCTGCAAATGCCTCCTGCTCCCAGCCTTGGGGCCTGCTATCTTGTTGCTGTCTGCTGCTGGCTTTGTGTTTTATTTTCTTTTTCCTTGCTGCAGGGAAGAATGATCTGGAAAACAAGCCATTGCAGCAGCAAGAGGCCATGGGCTCTGCTCCCCACTATTGCAACCAGGGCAAAGGAGCAGCTTTCTGAAGCCCCCAGGCCCTGGGTGTTGCTCACAGCCGGTTAAGCTGGGGGCCTGGTTTGGGAGCGACGAGAAACCAAGGGGGAAACCAAACAGGGCAAAACCAGGGTCATAAACAGCCAGGCAGACCCGTCTGCTCCCCATCTCCTCTCCTTCCATCTCCTCCCCAGCCTCTGGCACATGCAGGAACAGAGCAGAAATCCCCCACTCCGGTGGAGCTGCCCCGTGAAGACTAGGGCTTTATCAGGAGCAGAGCACCTGAGCATGGCAGCATCTAAAGAAAATTACCCTAAACGGCACCTGTTTTTTTCTTGAAATGTTGTAATGTTGAAGGCTGGTGACACCAGCTGGCTTCTCCCCCAGCCGTAATTGCACATCACATATTTCACTACTCAAATTGTAAAGCCTGAGTGGTTCAAAGCTCTCAGTGCTCCCCAAAAAAATCCAAAAGCAACTGCAATGTTTTATCTACAGCTTCACTATTCCCGTGCATGAAGCGCTCGGTGTCGGGGCTCACAGAGCAGCGCCCAGCTGCGATTTCATCACTCCTGCACTCTCTCGCCCACTGAATTTGCTGGGCGTTTCTCGCGGCCGTTTCCCCGGTTCCCTGTAACTCTGGCCATTGAGCCCTCCATGAGTTCTCCTTGTTTCTCTTCCCAAGGGTGATCCAAAGCCCTCCAGAGCCGGCAGGTCGGTGGCTTTTACCGCCCCAAAGGAGGCCGGGCCCGCGGCGAGGGCCCCGCGCGCGGCGGGGGAAGCACCTGCGCTGAGACGGGAAACCTCGCGGGCCGGGTGAGTCGGGCACCCGAGGGGCGGCTGGCAAGGGGCTCCCAGCCCTGGCGTTTCAGCAGCTGGAGGATTTTGTCCCTTCCTTGCAGTGGGAGAAGTGGCAACCAGCACCTTTGTCGAGGCCACCTGGGCCCCATCCCGTGACATCGAACTGGCCACCAGCTCCGCCGGCGTCTCCATGGCTCAGCAGTGGCTCTGTCTCTTCCTCTGCCTCCAAGTTGCAGGTAAGATCCCCTGGGAACGCACCCTGGACATGGGGAGTGCCCAGCCACTTCCATCTACCAGCACCATCCCATGGGATGTGTCACTGGGGCACAGGCAGGTTCTTGGGCTGTTATTCTATAGACTATATATGTGCTTGGCCCTGTGCTCCCTCTCTCAGGGTGACCTCCAGCCTGAGCAATTCTTGGACAGAAAGGGCTGGCAGCGGGAAACAGCCATTAAATGGGCATAGGGATGGCAACTCGAGTCGTTGCTCCCAGGTTTCCTCATTCCTCCCCTCAAGGAGGAAGGGATGCACAGCCCATTACAGCAGCCTTTGCAGGCTGAGCCAGTCTCAGGCAGGACCACGAGCGTGAGGGTAAAGCCCTGGCTGTTCCCTGGGTGCTCCAGGGATCCCTTTGCAGCTAGGAGGTTTTCAGCTCTGTTTGAACCCTCTCCCAACTCAACGTGCTGGAGTTTCCCATGGGACCCGGCACAGAGGGGCCTCAGGGCGTTAGCTTTAGCCAGGGACCCTGTGTGGCAAGACCCGCATCCGGGCAGATATCTGGGCTCTCGGCAAGCACACACTTTGAAGGATCCCATTCTAAAACATGGACATGGCATATTTTAAACAAATGTGGAGGTTTTGAGGCAAAGAAATGAGAAAATAAGTTATGTTCAGCTTTTAGCAAGTCTTTAAAACGCTCCTGGGAAACAGGCTAGAGGGGAAAGAGCCTCCTTATCTCCCAAGCAGTTTTTGCTGCTTGGTCTCAGAGTATTCGCAGCCTTGTAGGATTGTTTATTGGAAAAATAAAAAGGCCTGCGAGTCCCCTGTTTTTCTCCTGCAAGGACACGTCCACTCTCCCAGACAGATAGTGCTCAGGTGTCTGCCAAGGCAGACAGCAACACAGATAATTCCCACCAACGCTGCAGAGCCTGAACAGTGATGCCAAAATGGAGCTTTCAAGCCCCACAAGTCCCTCTCCTTCCCCTTTTGCATGAAATCAATAGGAAAATAATGCCCCCCGAAAGCTGACAGAAAATAAAAGTGGCTTGTTTGGAAGTTATCTTCATATCAACTTCCCTCCCCTGTTTTGGAGCTACCCCTCTGAGAACCAGCAATGCTTTTGTGTGAGAGGGGGCTAGAAAAGCATCCCAAAATCGCAGAAATCCCCCCAGGGAATAGTTGCCCTGCTGCATTAACACTCCTTCGGGGTGCTTTTCCCTGGGACACGAGTGGAGGGGTTAAGGCAGCGGCTCTCCCTGTTGCACATGTGTCACAGCACGTGCGGCCCCTGCGCCCGCTGGGTCCTCTCTGCGCTGGGAGCCTCTGCGGTCGTGTTGGGCCTTGAGATCCCACCTCAGGTTTATCTTCAACCCCCGTGCTGCTCCTCCAAGGAAAATTATCTTATGAATAAGTTGAGAGGTGCAAGAAGATCTGATCAAAGAGAAGCTTTTCTGAAAATCAGGAGGGAAACAGGAGGGTAGGAGCAACCTCCACCAGAGACAACATCAGAGCCCCTTCCAGAGCCTGTAGACCAGGGGATAACCAATGGAACATCCCCCCATCCCCCTCGTTTCCTTCTGGGTGAAGATCTGTGGGACAACAAATACCTGTGTTTTGGCCAAAACATAGCAAGGGACCGAAAAGGGCCATCAGTGAAATATTGGCTGGGTTTCCTGGTAAAGATGAACCCATTTCTCACTGGTGTCACCCCCTCATCTGTGACTGCTGACGTTATTAACCTCAAAAGGAAATATGTGTTTACCACACAAAGAAAAAAGAAATAGCAATGGCCAAGGCATAAATATGTGTTTCTGTCTTTTTTAAAGGTTTCTGTACATGCCTATTTCTGTCTCAGACTCCAGGACATATTTTAGCCCAAACTAAAACCAGAACAGAAATCACCTGCCACGTGAAAAAAGATCAGTACGGAGGGGTGTACTGGTACCGATGGAATGAGGAGAGACAGCTTTTCCAGTTCTTGGTGTTTATAAACTCTCTGGGCAAAGCCACCTATGGCAGGAACGTCAGCAGCGAGAAGTTCCAGGTCCATGGAGGACGTTCTCCCAACTCTCACAGTCTGCAGATCCAGCAGCTCCAGGCTTCCGACAACGGCACCTATTACTGCACCATCTCCCAGTCCTCGGAGCTCCTCCTCGGCACCAGGACAAGGCTCGGTGTGGGTAAGCAGCACCCTGGCCAACTCTCCCCAGGGGCCCTGATCATCCAGGCTTTGAGGGTAGGGAGAGCAGGGAAGGCTGGGGCTCCTGGGCTTCCTGGTGAGTCAGAAAATGCAGTTCTGCCGCAGGACAGCCCACATCTGGTGGCCCTTCTGCCACCACTTTTTCTGGCCATGCTCTGCACCCAGCATTGGGAATGGTTTAGGACCAAGGGAAGACAGCCCAAAAAATGTTTTTTTCTCTGCATTTTTCTAGTTCCTCGTGGTACTTTGGATGGGAGTTTGAATGTGGACCCTATTTAGCTCACATGTTCCATATCCTCATTCTTTCCTACCTTTCTCCAAACTGTAATAAAGATTTCAAAGCCAGGGGTCTTCACCCTTTGCATTGCTGCCATGGGCACAGTGGGTTTCTCCTGCCCGGAGGCTCTGGCTGCAAGTCCCAAGGCTGTTCTGCACCTAAATCAGGATTTAAGCCTCGAGGCTGTGAGCCCACCATCCAACCTGAGATCTGGCCTCCCCGCAGGTCCCACTGTGGGAGGGGGCCCCCAGAGACCTCGTGCATGGGAAGAGAGGTTCTTTTCAGCCCATTTCCCTTGATCACAGAGCAGAGAAGAAAATATTGTATCTGAGGGGAGCTTCAACCCCTTCCGAGCTGCCCGCGAGGCAGAGGAAGAAGCTGTTTAGCCAAGCCGCAGTGACAGCAACTCTAAAGCATCACACGTGCCCCTAAATTTCTTTTTACAGAAAGTACCCTGCAACTTTAATTCACTGAGGTGGCTCAGAAATCCCCTTGGGATTCTTGTGGGCTTGAGGGAAAACTAAGTCGAGATAAAGGCATGTTGTTTTTTATCATCTACAGCCATATCTATGTCCTGAAAGCAAAGCATTAAAAAACACGTCTGAAATTCCACACGATCAAGGACACTCTAATTTAAAACTAAACCCCAACAGATGGTCTGGGAGTGCTCGGACTTCACCGGACATTTTCTTTTTCCCTTTAGTACACAGGATAAAGGGAATATTCATTAAATTCCTTTTTTATTTTTGAATCTGTTGTTAAGTAAAGGAAAAGTAATCCAGATAAACCCCAGTTACCTAATGTCTCAGATGAGGTCTGGAACACTGGAAAGTCTTTTTCACCCAAATTAACAGTGGTTTTCCCAGGAATTTCAATCTAAGATAGAAGAAAAGATAGTTTTGAACTTTCCAGAATTTTGGGTAAGTGGAGTATGAGTAGTCAGATATGCAGGTACTTAATTAGTGAGATTTTTTCCCGACCAACTTTAATAGACAGATGGATGTGTTAAGTTTTAATTCTTATCAACCACAATAAATTATGGCCTTGTTCCGAGCAAAGATTATAATAATCTGAATTGGGAAAGATCCAGGGATCCCGTAAAAATCCCAGTGCTATTAAAATCTTCTGTTGCTTTTGAGTAACAAACGCATGGTTAGTAGCACAACAAGCACGATGTAAAACCTTCAAATAAAAGAAGAGACCACTTGGCAATTGCTCAGCTGCATTAAGAGCAAAGACGGGGCAGAGGAAGGGTGTTTTAGGCAGTGTCAGGATCCAGGGTTGGATTCTGTGCTGATGGGAACTTGCTAGTAGCTCTCTCTCCATGTTTCTAGTCAGCAGAGCAATACAAATTCTGCTTTGGAAATAACCCAGAAGACATTAAACCCATTCTCAGAGGAAATCCTGCCAGTGCTCATTGCTGGCTGTCGACCAGGGCTAATGAGGCTGTGTCTGGCAGTGCATGTAGCTCAAGAAAGTTTTTATTCTAAACTTCAGTCCTTCTTTGTCTAATACACCATCACATTAATGCTTTTAAAGGCCCTTGTTAACTTCTGTGGCCACTGATGGGTTCAGGTCCAGTTCCTGAAATCCGGTCCCTGTGAACACAAATTATCTCACTCTCTATTTTGGACAGTTCACCAAGAACTGCAGCATCCCATACTCATGAGCTGGCAGCCCACGTTGGTTTGAGGTCAGTTCGTGTAGTTTTAGAGCAGGGTCTGATCTTCCCTTTCTACTTACTCCTCTGCTTATTTCTCTACTTTTTTTTTTAGGCTGATCAAATGTTCTTTTTAAGGCCAAGGCTTTCAGAAGCTTTTAGGGACTGAGTTGTTAGCACATGTGAGGGATTGCTCACACTTAACGACTTTTTATTTTATTAACAACCTTGTACCTCTTTATCCTCAGTTGAAGTTTTGCCTCTGCCGCCAGTGCCCACTCGAGCAGCCCCCTCGAGGAAGCCCCGGCGATGCGTCCCCAGGAGCAGACCTGTGCCCAGGACAGGTACGGAGCCACCTCGGGGTGGAGGGTTTCCTCACCTGTCTCTGCAGGAACCCAGCGTGGCCGCTCCCTGTTGCAGTCCCTGGGGGCTCCTCGCTGATCCTTGGGGTGTAGCCTGAGCCTGTCCAGGGTACCAGGTTGTGGCCATGGGACCCCATGTGGTTGGGCATCTAGGAGCATCTCATTTAGTCTGGAGAAGAGAAGGCTGAGAGGAGATTTCATCAACTTGTTCAAGTACCTGAGGGATGATTGTAGGGAGGATGGGACCAGGCTCTTCTCTGTGGTGGCCAGTGACAGGACAAGGGGTAACGGGTGTAAGTTGAAACACAGGGCGTCCCACCTCCATATGAAGAACTTCTTTACTGTGAGGGTGACAGAGCCCTGGAACAGGCTGCCCAGAGAGGTTGTGGAGTCTCCTTCTCTGGAGATCTTCCAAACCCACCTGGATGGCACCCTGTGCCACGTGCTCTGGGTGTCCCTGCTGGAGCAGGGGGATTGGACTAGATGATCTCTAGAGGTCCCTTCCAACTCAACCGTTCTGTGATTCTGTGATTCTGTGAACTCAGCTCAGGATGGAGCTCCTGGCATATGGGGCCAGGAGACACTTCCATTTAGTTCTACCCAAGTGCTGAGGAACCGCAGTGCTGGTGTCTCCCTGTTGCTGTGCAGAGTTGTGTCACAAGCAGCCCCACATGTGCCTGATCCACGAAAATGCTGATACACCTCATGGCTAGGTTCCCTGTGACACAACTACAACCCCAAGGTGCTGGGGACTCCTCCTCTGCTGAGCATGTGCGTGAGGATCAGCCCGGCCCGGCTGGGGGCACAGGGAGCTGGGCTCCAGGACAGGGTCTCACCGATTCCTCCCCGTGCTCCAGGTCTCTGCAGCCCCTTCGTGTGGGTCCCGCTGGCCGCGTGCGCCCCCACCCTGCTGCTCTGCCTGTCCCCCGCCGTCCACCGCTCCCCCCGTAAGCCACGGGGCGCCGAGGGGCTCGCGGGCCTGGGAGGGCGAGGAGCAGGACAAGCCTCCCCGGGGCAGTTCGGGTCATGGGGACACCTCCTGCACCCCTTCCCAGTGGGATGAGGGCAAGTTTGCAGCCCCCAGTGTGGGGCTGGATGCTGGAACTCTCCGGGTGTTTCTGGAGCAGGGGGACAGGTTGGGACTGGGACCCTGGTGACAGATCATGTCTCTTTGCAGGGCTGCGGAGGAGGCTGTGGCTCCGCATCCACAGGCTGTGAGTCCTTCTGCTTCCCCCTGCCAATGGCTGACGATGAGGGAGACCATGGAGCCTCTTCTGCACTGTGCACAGCCCTCCCTGGGCCTGACCCAAATGCCCTCTGGCCACCATCCTCCAAACCAAGGCATGCCCCTGGCAGGACAAGGACGGTGGAAATGTCCTCCTGAGACCCTGGCTGCCTTCCCTGGCACGGAGCAGGATGTGACGGAGACCAGCCAAGGATGGGCAGGGTGAGACAGATCTGTCCTTGCGGTGGACTGTGAGTTTCCTGACAGACCCTGCCAAAGGGCGAGCATTTCCCCCAGGCTGCCGAGGGCTTCCTGCCCATGGGGCCGCTTGCCCGGGCAGGAGCGGAGCCCCCATGGACCCTGCACCACGTGGGACCAGGCTGCCTCCGCGCTCCGTGGGAAGGAAGGATTCACTGCTGAGGGCTGGGGAGGCACTCTGGGGCTCCATGCTCTGAGATCATCCCGTAAAACAGCATGTAAAAGCTTTTATTTTTTCCCTATAAAGCTGGTTTTCGGGACGTGCTACCCCCCCTGCCAGTCGCCGTGCAGCTGGAACGGGCACGTCCCTCAGAAACGGCAGATAACGGTGCTGCAGCCCGTTGTGCCGGCGGCCCCGGGGCCGCTCGGGGCCGGCTGCTCCCAGGGTGGCCCGGCTCCCCCTGGCTTGAAGCTCTCCCTCCCGCAGGCCAGGATCGGCCCTGGGACAAGGACGGAGCAGGGGGTGCCCTGGGTCCGGGGACAGTCACGCTCCCAGGGGGTGAGACCCCTGTCCCGCATGGGACGTCTGCTTTGGGATGCTGAGTACCCTCATGGCTTTCCCGGTGCTCCATAAAACAACTTTTTTCCCCCCCAAAGATGCCTCATGATCTAATTTAAATGTAGTTTGATCTGGGTCTCCCACGGGGCTGAGCAGGGAGCACGTGGGGGCACTGGGGGCTGCTCCTGTGGCCCTGGGTCCGTCCACACGCAGGGACCCGGCTGGGGCGAGAGGGGACGTGTCCCTGCAGGGAGACCTGACAGAAAGAAAAACTCACATCCGTTTCCAGAACATAAGGGAGAAAGAAGTGGAAACTAACAGAAAGACACTTCTATTCCTGATAAAACTACTCCAGCCCTCAGGCATCTGCAGCTAAAAAAGCTTCTTCCCCCCCAGCTATAACCCTGTCGCTGAGGGCAGAGCTGTTGGGGTACAACACAAGCAGGCAGAGGGGGATTCCCTGGTCAATGCTAGTCCCTAATTCCTTCTGCATTTTCTTTCCGTTTCCCTCCTGAACTGACCAGCCTTCTCCTCCCTCCATCTCCTCCCTGCAGCAAGGCGCTTCCCGACACATAAAGGAATAATAACAGGGACTTGGGGGTCCGAGCCCATGACTAATAAAAGATGGCACTTTACAAAGCATAGAGAAACCTGCAAAAACTCCAGTAAAGCCAAAAGATCTTCAAATAGGAAAAAATAAATAAAAAAGGAGATATTTTGGCATATCTATATGTTTAAATGCAAAGTATCATCCACAGTGTGCCCTCTCCCACAAATCCCTGGGTGGTAAGGGTAAAAGAGAAATAGCAGAAATACAGGTTATGCATTGCAGTAAATATTCTTATTGCTTTGGGAAAAAAATCTGTCAATAGGCTAAAAAAATAGTAATTACATAATTAATCTTCCAAGATAATCTTGGCTGCTACCAGTGGTGCTCATTTTTCCTTTATTATTTTTACCTACCATCATTTCTACACCAGTGACCCGGATTTTTATAACCCAGACAATTAAATACAAAATCAGGTGCAGCTGAAAAGAAGCCAGAGACAGTAGAGTGGGAGTTCTACCTGATTTCAAAGCTCCCAAAGCTTAAAAAAAAAAAATGCAAAGTCATAAACATGTATCAGTTT